AGCACTTGTCGGGGATACGACACCCCTAAAACGTCGTGATCAAGCCAGACACCGAGTCCCTCAGGAGGAGAGTCCAGGCAGTGAAGACAAACCGGGTAAGACAGTTCGCTTCCCTATATATATGATGGACTCGAACACTCCAATGCCTATGAAGAAGATCATGTATAGCTCGAACTAACGCCCCATGGGGCCCCACCATGCCCTCGAAATCACAAACCAAAGTTTTCACACATAGGCTATCTACCTCCGCAACCAATTTACGATAGCCCTTCTTCCATGCCAACCACAAGCCCTGAAATAAGCCCCACAACTCCGCACTCGTAATTGTACATAACCCGATATTAAATAGAAAACATGCAAGCCAACGCCCATCTTCGTCATGAATCAAACCTCCGACACAACTCATACCATTACCATTATTCATCGCACCATCAGTATTTATCTTAACCCATCCCAGCTTCGGACTGGACCAACGAATCTGACGAGTTACATGCACAACCGCACCAGCACGTCTATAATCTGCCATTGCTCGAATGTAGCTGGACGACATCCGCCAAACTTCCAGCCTCCTGCTCTCCACGCTCGAAATCTGATTTTAAAAAATTCTTTCATTGCGCCCAAACCATGTACGGCAAACCGTAATCGCAAAAATGATACTCCAATTCTCACAGGTACCCACCCTCGCCAATGACAGGTTCATGCACAACCACGATTTTAATGGCAGACTGAAAAATCTTGCATCATGATCCGCCGGTAAAAGCCTCTTCCAAAGGTCACATGTCGATGGGCAGTCACGTAAAACGTGGAGCACCGTCTCCAAATCTCCACAGCTGTCGCAAGCGGCCGATGCCGACAAATGCCGCCGCTGTCCCTCAACATTGGTAAGTAGGAGTTTATTTGCAGCCATCCACAAGATGGTTTTCGCCCGTTGCGGTGCGGGGGTTCGCCAAATCATACGATCTTCGCCGACATGCACTCTTGGCATAGTACCAGCAATCCGGAGAATCATTGAGGAGGGAAGAGCTCCATGTAAACAGTGCCACATCTACTCACCATTCGTATCCACAGTCCGCGACAACAACATTAGTATTTACCGATGGAGAATTAGAGTTGAGAAACCGCACCAACGGACCACTCGAGTCCAACCATGTGTCAAACCAGATCCGCGTTCTCTCCCTATTTCCCAATGTCCACCGGATACTATTCACTACATGCGGCCAGATATGGCGAACAACTTTCATTAAGTGGGATACTTGCCTACCCTCGTCCCAACTCTATCTTAACTGAGAGATTCAATCCATATTTAGCCGAAATTACCTGAGTCCACAGGGAATCTGGTTTTGTCAATAATCCCCATCCCACTTTCATTAAAAGAGCATCATTCATGAGTCGGAGGTCCCGAACACCCCAACCCCCCTCACTCTTCTGCCGGCAAACGTCCTTCCACGCCACTAGATGAACCTTCTTGTTTTCATCAGTGCCTCCCCAAATGAAGGCCCGTCACTTCTTCGCAAGCCCATAAATAGTCACCCTCGGAAGCAAGGAAGTTTGCATCGAAAAGAAAGGTAACGTACTCAGAACTGACTGAGTAAGGGTCACCCGCCCGGCTAGAGAAAGCGTTTTCATACGCCATCCGGCTAAACGTGTATTAGTCTTCTCCAAAATGTGATGATATGTGTCTTTAGAAAGACGGTCATGGAGAAAAGGCACACCCAAATATTTACCCAGGCTAGTCGTTGCTGCCACAGTAAATGTATCTGCTGCCTCTAAATAGCCCAAGGATTGGTGCCAATTACTATGTAGCATTTCCTTAAACTCTGGGTGAGTAAGCCACGCAGCCAGAAAAAGGTAGTTCTTTCTAATTCATTCACTTTAAGACTGGTTCTGAACGTTTTTTTACGTTTACTATTCAGTTCCAAAGAAATCGCGCTTTTTATGTTTCCATCAGGGGCTGATGAGAACGGTTTCGCCCCAATCGACAGGGGGGTGTAACCACCAAAGGTGAGCATGAGCGGGGAATGGTCTGATTGGATTCTTGGAAGGATATGAGAACGGCTAAGTTCGAACTTATCTAGACAAGAAATGTTAGCCACAAAGCGGTCAAGTTTCTCTGCCACCCGACCAAGGCGAGTATCCTGGGACCACGTGAAATGGTGCCCATCCGTTGCCACTTCCTACAGGCTATTATTAAACATCCAATCAGCGAAGTCCTGACTAACGTTGCAATACGAAGGGGACCCCCAATCTTCTCGGATCGCCTTAGAAGACAATTAAAATCACCTCCAATTATCCACGGTTCAGAGACTCCATTTGCCACAATATCCAGATCAGCCCAGAGATATTTACGTAGCGCCAAAATGGGACTGGCGTAGACAAAGGTAGCCAGACAAGACACACCTGCTTTGGTCACCCTTGCATGGACTAACTGGCGTGAATATAAAAGCACATCAAGTTGCACCTCGTCTTTCCACAAAAGCCAAATGTCCCCCGAAAAACCTTGGGCTTTTATCCGGAAAGAGTTGTCGAACTTACTAAAGCGCACAAAACTATCCGCCCTCTCCCCACTAATGCGTGGTTTGAACATGGCCATAACATCGGGATGATATTGGTTCACAAGGGTAGAAAAAGCACCCCGGAAGCCGGGCGAGCCTGCACCCTGCACGTTCTATGTAATAAAATTCATAGCTAAACAATACAGGGAGGAGTGGAAAATCCCCACTAATCTCGGCGATGGGCCTGCAGACCCAGCTCCTCTCCCATGCTGATATGGTCGTTCAGATTGTCTTCTGAAGGTGGGTCCTCCAGCCATGGTTTCTGTCGACGGTTGAATGGTTCATCCTCTACCATAAGAACATCCCCGTTCTGCCCATCACGGGCCCCGATTTTTGGTTGAGAGTTGGGGATGCTTTGAAGTCTGTCATCAGGTACTACGAGTGCTAAGTGTCCAGTCGGATTCAGGACAACACTGTGTCTAACGCTCTCATCTTGGACTGGAAGAGTTACCTGGGACCTGGTAGTGTCACGACCGTTAGCGCTCTCAACCTGTTTCACCATCTCCGACTTATGGATATGTGCTACCTCATTTTCCGTGCCCACTCTTTCCATCTGACCACCTGCTGGAACTGTTGGAACCCATGAGGATCTCGATATGCACAAATCACAGACAAACATTCAACATAAACCTATGGACAGCGGATCTAAAGGTTTGATGAAGAAAACTTACTGCTTAAAATTTATGTAGATC